GGCCCGCGGCCGTGGGCGGCGACGCGTGAGCGCCTGCGTCACAGAGGTTTGCTGGCGGGAGTGCAGTGCGCTACGTTGTCTCATCTTTCGGTTTTTCGTTAATATTCCGCCTCGTTACTAGTTCAGGTTCTGTGTTAACTTTGTTGGGTATTGTCAATGAGAATAATGTATGTGGGGTACGTTAGAAGCGTTTATAAATAAAACTTAGTGGTTATTTGTCCTAAACAAAGCCTCTTGAAGCTTCAAAATAACAATTACAGGCCAGCGTTAACTTTTAAAAGTTAGAATCGTTGAAAATTGTATATTTCAGAAACTGACCTTCGGCCATAGCACATGAAATACTTAGATCAAAATTTTTTTCAAGGATGCATTTAACATGTTTTCCAAATATAATATATGTGTCTATAACGTGGGGGACAGCATACATTTCAGTGGATTTTTAAAAAGTAATACAGTGTGATACCAGATGCCTCCTCCACTAGGGTCTTTAGAGTTAGGGACTTTTACACATTCAGAGTAGTCTTTCCAGGGTATCCACTCGGATGAGTCAGAGACACATCATAGCATATAGCAGATTTTCAGTCAGTACTTGTTTATTAATTTGTACCACATGAAATTGCTGGTATTAGATCACTTGAAAATTGACTGCAATAAGGAAAATTGATGTAAAGCATTTTCCAGTTGTACTACTTAGAATTATGATAGCATTATAGTCTTAATTTTTCTTTATCGTGTTGTTACTGCTTTCCAAAGAAATAACTAATACAGTGTCCTCAGAAGAATTGTGAACACTTTCATTTATATAATTTATAACAGGAACATATTACAAATGAGGAAAGTCTTAGAGGGCTCTGCTAGCAAAAGAACTACTGAGTAGGGTCTGGGCTGTAGTTCAATGGCACTGTACCTGACTGCTAAGCGCAAGGTCCTGAGCGCAATCCCTGGTACTGCAACAAAAAGGAAAAAAACGGTAGTAGTGTGAAAAATCTTGGTATAAGGATCTGAATTTCTAAAGTGAACTTCACAGAAGATCAGTATCCCATTCTAAACAGAGACCAATTAATGGCCAGGGTGAAAGCTAACTCAAGGCCTTGCTGCAGGCTATAGAACTTCTCCTGTTACTGGTTAAAGTTTGAAAAGGGACCTAAGAGTACACTGCTGGAGAGCACAGGCGAGTATGCGCAATAAGATTCAAAGTAGCAGCAAAACCTCATTGTAAAAGCAGATTATAACCTGTGGCCAAATAAACAAAGAAAGACATTGTATGATAGTCGACAGCAAGCCTTTCTGTGCTTGGATGTTGGTGAAGCTCCCTAACAGGCACCGCTGTGATCCTGCGACCCATTGCTGGAGGCAGTGGTGATGGCACAGAAGTAACTACTGCAGCATGAGTCCCAGCGACACCATGTTGTTAAGTAAATCGCAGACATCCGTTTTTGCGCACAAACACCCTTCGGTTAGCAAATGTGAGCCGGTACTTTAACACGGCAGGACTTCACCTCGTGTGTCTCCAGCTGCCCACGCAAGGCCTGGACTGCGAGATTCTGTCACAACCCTCATAGCCGCTGGACGTTTAGCTAAGAGACCGCCGTCTTCTTCATCCTTTGGAGCTTTTTCTAAGAAAACACAGCTGGATGTGGTGGTGCACACCTGTAACCCCAGCACTTGGGAGGCTGAGACTGGAGGATCGCTGTGAGTTCGAGGTCAGCAGCTTGAACAACATAGGGAAACCCTGTCTCAAAACAGGCAAGCAACACACTTCCCAATTGAGAAACAGTAACTGGAGGATTAAACAGTTTATATACTCTGACAAAATAGTTTTATGAACACTAAATATTTAATATCAGAAAAATGCTGATGCATATTTTGATTGAATAAACCTATTTTTTTAAATACAGTGTTTTAATTTTTACTTACAAAACAGCAATTTCATATGGTACAAGGTAATACAAGGTTTCCTTCATTTACACTTGACTAGCTAGAGATGAGTATGAAGATATTTTCAGTAGTTGTGTATGTATATCACCATGATGTTAGAAAATGAAAAACACTAGGAACCCCAATACTAGTTACTCCTTTGTGTGAAAATGTTACCAGTTGAAGCAGATTGTAATACAGTTTTTTGGACTGATGCTGGCATTGATGATCTTCAGTACATACTGGAAGGTCCTATTGTGCGTACATTATAGTTTTTTAGAGATAAATAATTTTATAAACATGTAAGACCTAGTTTTGTTTTTTGTTTTTTAAATCCTGTTGAGTGCTGATTTTTAAGAAACGGTGCACTGCATGCTATAAGCCTACTCCTAGTGTGAGACCATGACTTTAAGACTGCATTAGAACTAGGTTTTGTCTTTTGTGGTGCAGGGGATTGAGCCCATGGCCTCGTGAATGCTAGGCAGGCAAGCACTGTACTGCTGAGGACATCCCCAGCCCACAGCAGTAGGTGTTTCGAGGATAACCTTCCGTCTGATGCTCTCAAAAGTCCACACTTCACATGGTAGCTCTGAGTTGTGCTCATTGTTAAAATTGATTATGCAGTGTATTAAACAATGTACTGCTTATAGTTTCAGTAGTTAGCTATGCTGTGAAAAATGAAATGGCCTCTTGCAAGATAGTCTAAAATCATTTGATTTATAAAGTGATTCATTTTCTCTTTTCAAGCAATTACTTTTAAAAACACAAGTGACTATTTAGCTGCTCAAGTCACCTTACTAAGAATCTGTAAGTATTCTGAAGAAAAACCAGGGTTGATTCTGACATGAGTCACAGTCAAACCGTAATCGCACCTAATAAAGGTTTCCATGTTTGAATTAATTTCCTTAGTGCTTCCACATTTTCTCTACCAAACACCTGTCCGAAGTTACATACCTTCGGGTAGGAAAAGTGGTGAACTGTGAGAATGGCCAGAGAATTTGACCTATTCCACCCAAAGAAGACTGTTGCGTGAACCGATAGGGCATTCTTAGGAAAAGCAATGAGCTGCCATCAATTTTAATACACAGCAGCCGGGCATGGTGGTGCACGCCTGTAATCCCAGCACTCGAGAGGCTGAGGCAGGAGGAACACTGAGTTCGAGACCAGCCTGGGCTACACAGTGAGCTCCAGGTCAGTCTCAACTACATAGTGAGACCCTGTCTCAAAAAAAAAAACCAGCAATGGAACGATGTGTATGTAGAATTATAAACTTTTGGGGCTATAGTCTTTCCTTCCCTCAGAAAGGCCTTGTCTTATGCATACTTAAATACAAAGGCGCACACACAGTTGAGTAGCAAATCTGAGTTTCTTTGCAGTCTCAAATTTTGCTAAAGTTTGGCCTGTTGGCATCTAGGCTCGCTCACTCACCAAGGCCAGGTTGCTGGTGGATTTGCTCGTGTGCTAAAGGGTTCCTGGTCCACATTTTTCTGCATGTTATTGGATGCCCTAACATTAATAGAGCTTAGCTTATAAAGGAAATTGTTCTTCAGGTAGAGCAGATTTGTGATCAGCATTTTCCTTTTGAGTGAAATTTTTCAGTGTTGCTAGTATTATTATCAAATTAGAGGTTATACACATGCACTGAAGATTGTCTTATCCTGGTGTTTATGCCTCGTAAATAAGCACAGCATAAGAGAAACCCACGTTTGGGCTTTTTTTTAAGACTCCCAGCTGAGCCTAATGGTAGAAAACAAATAGAGTGAGTCACCATGAAATCTGCTGACTTTCATCCTCCACATAAAATAAGTACCAGCAGTCTTCGTTTAAGTTGTGCGTATTGAACAGATTAAAGCACTAGTTCCTACTACCCTACATACTAAATGTATTTAGTAGTAAAAAGTATAAACAATGATTTTTATAAAGGAAGTTCTAACATGTTTTGGATTTCTCTTTCCCTTGTGTAGAGGCTTCATATGCATGAACATTTGTGCTGTTTTAGATAATTTAAAAAGTTGAAAAGCATCCAGGCTCCCAAAGTACATTTATAAATAGTGGCTTGGAACTCAATATAAATGATAAGATTCTTAGAGAACCTCATAAAAACTTATTTCAATCATAGTGCAGTAAACTGTTATTATTGTGCTAAATTCTTGGTTTTCTTTAGTGAACCAATGCAAGAGAAAGAAGCAGAAATCTTTCCTTTTCCCTGATGTGATTAGGAAAGTTAAGTTGTTAATGTGGATTATTTCCCAGTTGCCCTATTACCATCTAAACTCTCTGGTGAAATGCTGTATCA